CTCCTTTCTCTCTGATCGGTCGCAGTCTGTGTTGACAGGGGGGCAGAGGTCGACCCCGAGGCCCCTTGTATGTGGGGTGCCACAGGGGTCGGTTCTCTCACCCCTTCTGTTCAACATTTATGTGAAGCCGCTGGGTGAGATCATCCGTGGTTTTGGGGTGAAGTATCATCAGTATGCTGATGATACTCAGCTATACATCTCCACCCGGGATCACCCCAATGATGCCCTTGAAGTGATGTCCCAGTGCCTGGAGGCTGTACGGATCTGGATGGGGAGGAGCAGACTCAGGCTCAACCCATCCAAGACCGAGTGGCTGTGGTTTCCGATGTCCCGATATAGTCAATTGGTGCCATCACTGACTATTGGGGATGAGTCATTGCCCCCCACGGAGAGGGTTCGCAATTTAGGCGTCCTCTTGGACTCACGGCTGTCTTTAGAAGAACACTTGACGGCTGTGGCCGGGAGGTCTTTTTATCAGGTTCGCCTGATTCGCCAGTTGCGTCCCTTTCTGGATCGGGACTCGTTAAAAACGGTCACTCATGCCCTCGTCACTTCACGCCTGGACTACTGTAATGCTCTCTACATGGGGCTCCCCTTGAGGAGCACCCGGAGGCTCCAGCTGGTCCAGAATGCGGCCGCGTGGGTAGTTATGGGAGCAGCATGGCACTCCCATGTGGCTCCCCTCCTGCGCGAGCTGCACTGTCTCCCTGTGGTCTTCCGGGTGCGCTTCAAGGTCTTAGTTACCACCTTTAGAGCGCTCCATGGCTTAGGACCGGGGTACTTACGAGACCGCCTTCTGCCACCAATAGCCTCTCACTGCCCAGTACGCTCCCATAGAGAGGGGCTTCTCAGGGTGCCGTCAGCCAAACAATGTCGACTGGCGGCCCCCAGGGGGAGAGCCTTTTCTGTGAGGGCACCCACCATCTGGAACGAGCTCCCCCCAGAGATACAGAAGATTCCAGATCTGCACACTTTCCGCCGTGCCCTCAAAACATTCCTGTTTCAGCAGGCCGGCCTGGCCTAACTTTCCCTTATATTGCTTTTTGATTTTATTTTAAACTGGGATGTCTTGAATTATCTAGGACCAGAATGTTTAGTATATTTTAATTGGTTTTTTATTATTAACGTTTGTATTACATGTATTTTTATCGTTCGCTGTTCACCGCCCTGAGTCCCTTAGGAATAGGGCGGTATAATAAATAAATAAATAAATAAATAAATAAATAAATAAATAAATAAATAAATAAATATCCCTGCATGGCATAGCTCATAGCTTCATTGAGCTATGCAAGCCTCTTCACCACAACAAGGCAGTAATCCATGAAAGGAATACATACAAATACATACATACAAATACACATTCCTTTTTTAAAAAATTAATTAATTGATTTTCTGTATTCTACTTACTGTCTATAACTGAATAAAGGGTTGTTTGTTTGTTTGATTGATTGTTATGTGATGTGTGAAACATGCCTTCGATTTTCTAAGTCCATGAATTGCCCTGTGTATTGTTGTTAGTTGCGAAGTCATGTGCGAACCATTGCGACTCCATGGACAGCGTTCCTCCACGCCTTCCTGTCCTCTCCATCCTCTGGAATCCATTTAAGCTCATGCCTACTGCTTCAGTGACTCCATCCAGCCACTTCATTCTCTGTCATCCCCTTCTTTTGCCCTCAATCTTTCCCAGCATTAGGCTCTTCTCCAGTGAGTCCTTCCTTCTCATTAGGTGGCCAAAGTATTTGAGTTTCAACTTCAGGATCTGGCCTTCTAAAGAGCAGTCAGGGTTGATCTCCCCTGGGACTGACCAGTTTGATTGCCTTGCAGTCTGTGCCCTGTGTATGCATGGTATCTTTTAGGATTTTAAAGCAATAATCACCAACACTATGTGGTATAGCCTTCTCCTTAACCTCCAACAAATGTTCCCAAGGAGGAAAGAGTCATGATGAAGCAGAACAAAGGCTTTCTAGCTCAGAACAGTGAATAGTTGATAAGAGACAGAAAGTAAAATAAGATCTGAAGGAAGATTTGAATTCCCAACATATAAAGGCTGATGCAGTACTTACAATATCTAGGTCAGTGATGGCTAACCTTTTTGCCATCGCATGCCAGGAGAGGAGGGGCGGGGGAGGGTCACGCGCGCATGTGCCCACGCGCATGCGTGCACAACCCCTCCACCCTCCCCCCCGCTCCTGGCACATGATGGCCTGGTAGGCCCATTTTTCTTTCTTACCTGGTTCCAGATCCTCTCTGTGTATCTGGGAAGGGCAAAAACAGCCTTTCCCACTCCCTTGGAGGCTCTACGGAGGCTGAAAGGGCCCATTTCCCAACTCAGGAAGTGACTTTTTTGCTGTCCCCAGCCTCCAGAACCTCTATAGGAGTCTCTAGGAGCCTCTCTAGGAGTCTCTAAGAGCCTCTCTAGGAGTCTCTGGACGCTGGGGACAGGAAAAAACGTCACTTCCTGTCCCATCAGGAGTCGGGAAATGGGCCCTTTCAGCCTCCATAGGGCCTCCAAGGGAGTGGGAAAGGCTGTTTTCACCCTTCCCAGATACACAGAGAGGATCTGGAGCCAGGTAAGAAAGAAAAACGGGCCTTCTCCACCCCACCCCCAGGCCCTCCAGAGGCAGGAAACAGTCTGTTTTCCTACTTCTGGTGGGCCCAGAAGGCCCGAAAATCAGCTGGCCAGAGCGCGCATGCACCCCAGAGCTGAGCTGGCGTGCCCACTAATATGGCTCCACGTGCCACCTGTGGCATGCGTACCATAGGTTCGCCATCACAGATCTAGGTGCACATCTGCCATGGCTTTCCATGTTGTAGTATGAGAAATAAAGACTAAGTGTATTTTTTAAAATTAAACCCAAAATGTAACATGCAAAAAATAAAATGACTAATCAAAGTGGGATCAGGAGACTATTTATTTGCAATATTTTCTCTTTTTTATGTTCATTTTTGAATACTTTTGAATAGATTTGTGCTCATGCTGAATTTGCGAATTCATCTGAATTCATGCTTTTAAGGCACTCTGCATTTGACACAGATGAGCAAATAATGTGTGGAAAATTAAAATGTTTTCTATTTAAGTCACTATAGGAAATAAAGTTCAAGAATAGCATGGCTAATTAATAAATTAATCCATGTTTAAAGCTCTATAAAGTTGGATGCATTTTTCATAGATAATTAGATATATGTGTGCAATATATCTAATTAGAAAGAACACAGACTTTCTATTGATAGTGTTGTTCTTAATCAGTATGTTGGATCATTTATCTCTTGCTTAGCTTCTTTTGAAACATCTCCCTTAGTTTCTCATACTCATCCTCCCAATTCTCCATGTTATCAATTTAAAGGGCAAGGATTTTTAAATTTATTATTTTTGTTTACATATTATTCAAATTCAAGTCCATATGTTTCTTTTTTCTTTCCAAATAGTGTCCAATTCAAATATTAATTTAAACCATTCCAGTCTTTGTTCTTTTTTTTTTTTTAGTTTTTTTTAAAATCTTTGTTCTTTCCACTTCTTTTGAAATCGTGCTCCAGGTGTTTAAACAAACACTCCTCCAGTATTTTCCCATGGTGATCTAAATAAACTTAGTGTGATGCTTTCTTTTCACCAGTAGATATCTCTTTCCAATTCACAAATCTCCCGACAACAAAGTATCCATTGTAAATCCATAAAAATAATTACTTCCTCTTCTCCAAATTAAATCCTTTTGTTGTTTAAAGAATACTTCTCTGTTTTCTTTTTCTTTTTTTCTTTTTAATTTCTTCCAAATCCAGTTTTAAATCCAGGTGAAAGGTTCTTTTTAGGGTTTTAGTTTTAAAGTTCCTCTTTTCTTTTTTCTCCACTTGAATTCCCGAGTGCCAATTAGCTGCTAATTACTCGTTGGGACTTCTTTCAAGCTTAAAATTTTTTTTCTTCTTCTTACCTGTGAGTTGGCCAATCACTCACCAGGTAACAATACTCTGTTCAATCTCCGCTCCTGCTCAAATCTTAGTCCGGTTGCCCCAGCCCCAGCTTGTAGCGCTCATAATGGCCGCCTCCCCCACCGGGTCAAAGAGCTGCCTCCCACCTTCCGAGGAAACTTGCCTGTTCCTCTTGGTCTCCCAAGGCACCTCTCTCACTCCCCCATCCCTCCAAGACAGTTCCGGTCCGAAGAACCCCCAACACCGGTTTGTTTGGCTGGGTTTTCACGAAGCTCATCGGAGCTTCGCTATTTCCCAGCCAGTATAGCCACGATGCTTCTGGTTCCTCTCTTGTTTAGCTTCTTGCTGGCTAGTATTTAAGCATGTTTTCCTTATCATGACTATATCTCCTTTGCTGCTGATATACTGAAACCTGGAAAGTTAACTCTAGATTCTAGAAAGTTGGTTCTTAGAATTTCTAAATACAGGTAATCCTCAACTTACAACAGTTCATTTAGTGACCATTCAAAGTTACAACATCACTGAAAAAAAGTGACTTATGACCATTTTTCATACTTATGACCATTGCAGCATCCCCACTGTTATGTGATCAAAATTCAGACACTTGTCAACTGGTTCATATTTATGACCTTTGTAGTGTCCTGGGTTCACATGATCCCCTTTTTGAAGTCTTATGAGAAGCAAAGTCAATGGGGAAGCCAGATTGACTTAACATTCATACTATTATTAACAACTGCAGTGATTCACTTAACTACTGTGGCAAGAAAGGTTGTAAAATGGGGCAAAACTCACTTAACAAATGTCTCACTTAGCAACATAAATTTTGAGTCAATTGTGGTCATAAATTGAGGACTATCTCTATAGTAGTTATGATTACTTTCTCATAAACAGTGATTCTCAGAAGATCACTTTTTATGTTCAAAAATATTCCAATTTTTTTCATGTAGTTTAAATATATTAAATAAATACAAAAAATCAGTTTAAGTACTTCACTCTCTTCCCTAGAAAGGTTACTTTGTAAAGTAAGAAAAACAGAACAAAAACAAAAAATAAAATGTAAAATGTAAAATCTTTCTTACCAACAATCATATGGTTGCAGACATCACAGAATGTGGGTTTTTTGAAAATATGTTCCTGAAAAATGTGAGTCTTATCTTCTGGTTGGAGATGGGTTTTGGTTGGAGTGGAGTTTTGACTTTCCAAATTAGGGATCTGTCTTGTTTTAGAGGTGATTTCTGATAGCAAATCTACTTGCAACTTCGTGCCACAATTTGTTTGTTGAAAAAAGTTGTCTGCACTTTTACTCCTCAAACTTTTGGTCTTGAAAGAAAGTGATCGTTTCAATTTCTGGAGCTGAAAAAAAATTAACAATAGCATTTTTTCCAAAAGGCAGAATTCAGAATACATGGCATGTAACTATTATGTGGAATTCCCATTGATATTTAATGTTCCGGCAATTTCAAGTAACTAGAATTCTAATACAGCCAAGAGACCTTTGTTGGAAGAAATTTTCTGAGTTTGTTCTCAGCTGGGAAAAACCACGGAAATTTCTTCCAACAATTTGATGACCAACGAAAGGACTCCCAGACAACCCAGCTCCCAGACAGTGCCTGCAGGACCACTGACTAGCCGGCACAGACCTTCTTCATCTGAGGGTAAAAGCGAGAGTGGTACAGGGAGGAGGAGAAGAGAGGAGAGGTGAGTTTACTGTTGCTCCTCTGAGCTGTGACCGACAGAACAGGGAAAGCAAGGAGGGAGTCATCAGAGTGTGGGACCTTCTGTGCATAAGAGGGAAAGTTGAGCAGGCTATGATTGAAGGGTGGGAAGGAATTTTTTTTATTGTTGTTGTTGTTTTGTTCCATGAAAACCCAAAAGCAAAGCCTAGTTCTGAAGGTGCCAATACTCACTGGATATGAGGCAGCAAGACCTTCTAGATTCACAAGGGGTCTGAAAACCGTTGGCAGGAAAGGAGGTGCCAGTACTCACTGCTTAAAGGAAAGCGGCAGGTCCTCCTGGACCCATGACGAGTCTAAAAACCATTGGCTTGAGTTCCCTTGGTGGGAGGACCCGAACAGAGGGACTATGTTAGTGAACCAGAGTCTCCCCCAGATGCTTTTTTGTCTGAAAACCATGAGGAGGAAGGTTTTTTTAATCTTTTGTACCTGACTGAGCCAAAGTGAGCCCCACATCTGAGAGGGAAACATGGAAAGCAGCATTCAAAGATAACAATTAGGACTCCCCTAAGAGATTGGCTCAAGGCATGGGACAATCAGCAGAGGCCTGTCCTAGCCGGAATGAAAAAATGAAGAGCAAGAGAGATATGTAAAAAAAATGGGCTTTGCTAAGGGACGACATGGGAAAACAAATTTGGCCAGAAGACAGTACTTTTGATTTTAAATCACTAAAAGAAATCAGATCAAATATATTGGGTGTTTGTTTGTTTGTTTATTTCTCTCTTCCTCTCTGTCTTCCATGCAACCATGTGGAAGATTTGTGCCTTCCCTAATTTAACTGAGATTTATGGTGGGAATGACCAGTGTATGTAAACATGAGAGTTCTACTTTCCTCTCTCTCTCTCTCTCTCTCTCTCTCTCTCTCTCTCTCTGTGTGTGTGTGTGTGTGTGTGTGTGTGTGTGTGTGTGCGCGCGCGCGCGCGTGTGTGAGTGTCAAAGTCTCTGTGTGCCTTTCAGGTAATTGTAACTGTAAAATGTCTCCAATCCAAAAGACAAAAATTTTAAATTGCTACCAAAAAAATAAAATAAAAATTAAAAGCACTGAAAGAAAATGCCTTTACCCAGTTTAGTCCAAGTTTAAGGGAGAATGTTTTAAATTCACTTACAGGAAAAGTTTTATTCTTGCATTTACTGTGTGTTTAAATGATTTCATCTGTTCATCTGTAGGAAGTTAGCACCCTCCCCTTTCCTAGAAGAATGAAATATTTTAGGAAATATTAAAAAGGCAGAATATTATGTTTCCCTGGATGAGAAATGGAGAAGCATGTTTTAAAGCAGCAACTCCCACCTTCTGGTGCTACTTAATAGCACTTTAGTCTGCTGCGCCACCAAGGTTGTAGAAAAAATGGTTTTAAAAGTAAAAAAAAAAGAAATTGGCCATGCCCACCCAATCACATTACCCCTCCCACCAAGCCTCGCCCACAGAACCGATAGTAACAAATTTTAGATTTCACCACTGCATTAAACCATCCTTCCAAGCAGTCTCCATGTTTCCAGTGTCTTTTCCCCCACTTGGAGCTGAACCCAGAAGGATATTTCTTCTTACACATCCTTTGTCTGAAGCATGTAAATTCAGTTTTTTTCCTCATCTATGATGTCCCAATATCTGTTTAATAACTGTAGTACTGATATTTTCCCCCTCAAACTTTGCCTGCAAGCTATCTACCCATACACACCAGCCCCCACACCCTCATCTCTAATCCTGTTACAATGCCTTTCCTGGGAAGATTACCCACAAAAGAGGGGAGGGGGCTTTGTTCTCATGTCTTTCAGCCTTCCACAGATAATTCTGCAACCTGTAGAAGCAGATCACGCTGACCCAGATGCTGCCTCCAGAGGAGACCTTCCATCCATTTGAGCCAGGAATTGGGTTTTGGATCCAACCCTCCGCTAGAAATCATCACAGCAAACAGAGTGGAGCAGCCCTACCCAAGCCTGACTGACCACCCTTACCACCAGGCCAAGCTTAATGCCACCCAGCAGACATGAAAAAAAAGGACCCTGAGGTGGACAAGTAAAGACTCTTTTCAATCTCCAGAAGACAGCTGGAAAGACTATGGGGGAGGTGGAAATTCATTGTAAGGTTTTCTTCCTTTGCTTCATTCACAATTGTAACTGATCAGTTAAATGGATTCACATAGGGATTGTATTTGGTAGCAAGTTCTGAAAACTTTGCATTTTTGTCTGGTGGGAGGGAAATTTGTCCAGCATGTTTATATTGCCTGTATTGTAAAAGTAACTGCATACACAAGCACACACAGGGACACACCATTCAGAATTAGACTGAAACTATCCCCTTCACCTACCTCCACACAAAGCCTCTTTATGTTCTGTGGCCCAAGCAGTCATATCTCTTTGCTAAATCCATGAGGGAGGGGGCATCCCCCTCAGGCAATTTCCTCACTTGAAAAGATAACAGAAATGAGATCTCCAAACCCCAAGCCCTGACTGTTACTCAAATGATGTTGCCCAGTTGCCCAGCAAAACAGGATATGCTGCACTGGTGGTCTCATTAGTAGGAGTCCCAGGGCTCATTGTGTGTCATTTTAAAAATACTAAATAGCCTGGATTGCACACTGGCTAAGCTCAATTTGGACTCACAAATCCTGGATGCTAAAGTAAGAGCTAAGCAGGTTCAAGAACCAATCCTTGAAAATGGGCAGCCTGTAGATATTTACTAAGGAAAAACAATGGTTGCGAAGAATTTTGGGGCTTGTGCTTGCTCCAAACCTGTGGAAGCTCTCAGAAAGTGACATCAAACATCTGAAAATAATTGACACAGGAAAATTGGATACTGTAAACTTCTTTCCAAAACTTATGTCCTGGTTGCTAGACCTTCATGGTTGAAAGCTCTCCTTTTGGGACCCAAGGGATACTTTTTTACTGCCTCTGTCATTTTATGCATGAGCTGTCTTAAGACCTGCAGTTCCACCCCCCCCCCAAAACACGATGAAAAAGGAAACCAGCTTGCTTTAATTTGATGGTTCAAATTGACCATGAGTATCAAGTATACTGTCAGTATTCCAGAAAAACCCAAACTCCAAGTAAAACTCTGAAGCAAACATTTTTCAAAGTTCTATTTACTAGAATAGGTAAACTGGCACATCTGGGAAAACCTGAATCTAAGAGGTCTGAGTTTTCCCTCAGTAAATCAAAACCCCCCCAAACCATACCCTCATTCCTCAAGCGCCATTTTTAGCTCTGCTGTCAACTTGTCTTTAGGGAGGTCGGAACCAAGGCGCGTTTGCACTCTAGTGTGTGCTTGGGCTGCTGGTTGGGTTTCCGAGATCATGGCATGAAATACCTCTTCCTGTCGGCTTTGTTTTCATTGATTCGGTCTGGGTCTTCAAATCTGGTCCGGAGCAGCGCAACAAACCCATCAGCATCTTTTAGTTCAGCAGTGCCCTCATTGTGCAGCTGGGCTATCCATTCAGAACCCTCCCCCTCATTCATCCCATCAGAAATTACCGATACCAAGGGGGATACATTCAGCAGGAGGGAGCACAAAGGCAGGCTGGCGAGGGGGCCATGATTTTGCATGATTGGCTTCACGATGGGGGCAACAGTTCCAGTCCCGGGAATCTCTGGATCCCAAAGCTGTCCCCCTTCTCCACTCTGGTTTATGGAGTGACTTCATTCGGCTGGGAGTGGCACAATATCCAGGCAGTCTCTCTTCTGGTCCCCTTTCTGGAGTTGGATCAGACTGGCAATGTTAGATCCGGCGCAGGGAAAAGAAGACTGGACCAGCTCGATACATTAAGCAACTTTTATTCATTACAAAGTAACGAGTCAAGACTGCTGGCGCGCTGCCGGAGCTCTCCTTATATTCGCTCCCGGCAGACGCACCGCCCCTTGACAGGGATTCAAATCTCCCGCCCGATGGCTGGCAGCCAATCAGGGCGGATGTCCTTATAAGGACATAACACTCCTCCCCCCTTAGTCCGAAATGTCAATCTCATTCACAAACGTTACGTAGTCGCGCAGGTACGCCGGACGCCTCGGCACCCTAGCTGACCTGCGCAGTCTCACTTCTCCTCCGTCTCCGGCCTGGAAGGACGGGGCTCTTTCGTCTCCTGGTTCCCTCTCCGGAACCGGGCTCGGTTCGGCTGTCGAGTGAGCGGGGCCACCCCCAGCGCCTCCGGCTGGACCGCAGACCTTGGATCGCTGGTCCTGGTGGTCTTCCTCCTGTCCTGTGGATCTCTCGCCTCGCCTCGGCTGCTCGGTTCCGACCCGGGAAGAGCGTCTGAGTCTCGGTAAGTCCATTGCTTGCTCCTCCCTGGTCTCCTGGGCGCTGTGGTTCGGTCTCGGTCCGGCTTGCTGCCGCTCGGGTGGCGGTTCCGCTCGGTTCGGGTGGTGCTGGCTCTCGTTGTTGTTGTTGTGCCGTCCGACCTCGCAGGGGTGGCGTTGGTCCCCTCGGTTGGGCTGGCGTCGGTCTACCTTGTCTGGCTGGCGGTGGTCGACCTGGTCGGGGTGTTGTTGCGGTGCTACCTCCGCGGGGCGGCGGAGGTCTCCCCTGCCGGGGTGGTGCAGGTCTCCCTGGCCGGGTTGTTGTCGGCTTCCCCTTCCCCCTAGTCCCTGGTCTACCGTTGGTTGGTGCCTGGGGCCATCCTGGTCGGGGTGTCGTTTCTTGGCTGTCTCTTGTGGTGGGCGGGGGTCCCCCACGTCGGTGAGTTGTGTGCCACCCTCGCCCGTGGGTCGTGGGTTGCCCGTCTTGGCTGGGTCCCGGTCTACTCGCCTTGAACTGCAGTCTCCCTGGCTGGGCTGGCATGGGCTGCTGTAACTGGTGGGGTGCGTTGCTCCTCCTCTGGGCAGGTCCCGGTCTACCTGCGGGCTGGGTTGGTGGTCCCTGGCCTTGCTGTGCCCGGTGCCCACCTGGCTGGGTTGTTGTTGCCATCCTCCGTGCGGTTGGCCCCGGTCTACCTCGCTGGGCTGCCGGCGTGACAGCATCTGGTAGTGGGCTGGGCCGACCCTGCCGGGGTGGTGCTGCTCTGCCTCGCAGGGGTGTGGTAGGCCTACCTCGTCGGGGTGTCGTAGGCCTACCTCGCCGGGTTGTTGTAGGCCTACCGGGTCTGGGTGTGGTAGGCCTACCTCGCTGGGGTGTTGGAGGTCTACCTCATCGGGGTGTTGTAGGCCTCCCTCGTCAGGCTGGTTTTCATGCGCTCCCCCCCCACCTTTTTCGGAGTTGGTCGATGTGACGTCTCGCGAACTGTCCATCTTCCAACTCGACGATGTAGGATTTGGGGCCGGTTGTGCTGGCAATCTTCCCCTTCAGCCACTTAGGAGAGCCGCTGAAATTCAGCGCGAAAATTGAATCTCCGTTGCTGAAGGCGCGAAGCGGGCGGCTGGCGGTTGCGGTCACTTCCGGGCTGTATTGGGGGTGCAGCCGGTCCAAGGGTGACCTCAACCTTCTGCCCATCAACAGTTCGGCCGGGCTCTTGTGGGTGGTGGCGTGTGGCGTGATGTGCTGGGTGAGGAGGAAATTGTCTATGCGCTCTTGCCAGTCCCCCGGGCCCATCTTGGTGAGGGCCTCTTTGGTCAGTCGGACCATGCGTTCCGCTTGTCCGTTTCCGGCCGGCCTGTAAGGGGCGGACAGGGCGTGGCGGATGCCCAGTCCCGCCAGGAAGGACTCCATGGCCAAGGATGTGAGCTGGGGGCCGTTGTCTGAGACCAGCACATCCGGTAGACCATGAGTGGCGAAGAGACGGCGCAGGGCTCGGATCGTCGCGTCCGTTGTGGTAGATGCCATGGGCACCACCTCGAGCCATTTGGAGAAGGCATCTACCACGATGAGGAGGTGTCGCCCCTGCATCGGACCCGCGAAGTCAATGTGGACCCTCGACCAGGGGTTGCTGGGGGTCTCCCACTTCGCGACCTCGGATTGCGGCGGCGCTGGGTGAACTTCTTGGCATGGGTCACATCTGGAGACCCATTGTTCAATGTCTTTGTCCATGGAGGGCCACCAGACATAACTCCGTGCCAGTGCCTTCATGCGGACGATGCCCGGGTGCCCCTTGTGCAAGGTCTCCAACGTTCGCCGTTGCAGAGTGCTTGGAATCAGCACCCTGTCTCCCCATAGCAGACAGCCCTTCATGGTGGACAGCTCCTCCTGTTTCCTGGCGAACGGGCTGAACCTTTCCTCTGGCTTTCCCGATGGCCACCCTCTGAGGATCCAGGATTTCACTTTGCGGAGTGTGGGGTCCTTGTGGATGTGGACGGCCACATCTGCGGATGACACCGGGCAGCTGGCGTCGTCATCAATGTGCAGTAGGTGGAGCGTGGGGGCTGGGTCTTCGACCGGCTTCTTCGACGGGCATCTGCTGAGGGCGTCAGCGTTTCCTATGGCTGTGCCTGGCTGGTGCACGAGCCTATAGGAGTAGCCAGCTAGGAAGATTGCCCATCTCGTCATTCTTGGGGACATGAAGGTCGGGGTTGGTTGGTCGCCTGCGAGGAGTCCCAGGAGAGGCTTGTGGTCTGTGACTATGGTGAAGCTTCTTCCGTAGAGGTATTCGTGGAAGCGCTTCACTCCAGCCACGATGGCCAGGGCTTCTTTGTCCAGCTGACTATAGTTCCGTTCTGCGCCGGACATAGTCTTTGAGAAGTACGCGATTGGGGCTTCCGAGCCATTGGGCAGTTCGTGGCTGAGGACTGCCCCCACCCCGTAAGGCGACGCGTCGCAGGTCAGTCTGATGGGGAGCGTCTCGCTGTACTGAATGAGGACGCTTTTGGACGTCAATAGTCCTTTGATGGCCCGGAATGCCGCTTCCTCTTCCTGGCCCCACTTCCAGGAAGCCGATTTTCCCAGCAGGCGGTGGAGTGGCTCAGCAACTGTGGCTTTCTGTTTTAAGAAAATGGCGTAAAAGTTGAGCAACCCAAGGAAAGCCTGAAGCTCCGTTTTGTTTTTTGGGCTTGGAGCTTCATGGATTGCTTCCACTTTTGATTTGGTGGGGTGGATGCCTGTGCTATCAATGAGGAAGCCCAGGAACTCGACTTCCTGTACCCCTATGATGCACTTGTCCCGCCTGACCCTCAAACCCTTGGCCTTGAACCGCTGCAGGACAAGCCTGAGCCTTTCAAGGAGTTGGGTTCTTGAGTCACCGGAGATGAGCACATCATCGAAGTAAGGCACCACCCCTGGAACGCCTTGGAGAAGGCGTTCCATCATGGATTGGAAGATGCCAGGGGCAGCGCTGACTCCAAATTGGAGGCGGTTGCATTTAAATGCCCCCCTGTGTGTGACAATTGTTTGAGCCTCCGCCGTTTTGTCATCCACTGGCAGTTGCTGGTAAGCCTGGGCCAGGTCCAGTTTCGCGAAAATTGCTCCAGATCCCAGGGAATGCAGCAGATGTTGCACCACTGGGACTGGGTATGCGCTCTGTGCCAACGCCTTGTTGATGGTACAACGGTAGTCAGCACAGATGCGCACAGACCCATCATGCTTCAGTGGGGTCACAATGGGGGTCTCCCATGAGGCATGATCGATCGGTTCCAGGACGCCCTGGGCGATCAGTTTATCCAGCTGCTCGTCTACTTTGGGCCGCAGGGCAAATGGAACTCGGCGGGGCTTGAGCCTGATTGGGGTGATTCCCTTGTCCAGATTAAAGGAGATTGGCCTCCCCACAAATTTCCCCAGCTTACCATCGAAGACTTCTTTGAACTCTTCGATGATGGAGTCGAGTTCGTCCCTGCGGATCTCGTGGATGCCCTGAAGTGAAAGTCCCAGCGGCTTGAACCACTCCACACCCAACAGGTTTGGTCGGCTGTGCTGTACAATGGTGATGGGTAGCTTTCCGTTGAAGTCGTTGTACTTCACCCGGATTGTGGCTCTGCCTAGGATTTCAATGGGATTCCCGTTGAAGTCCACGAGTCTCGCCTTCGGGTTTTTCAGCTGGGTCCTTTTGTATGCCGGGTTCAGCTGCTGTAGGTGCTGCCAGTCCATGATGGAGTAGGCGGATCCAGAGTCTACCTCCATCTTGCATGGTGACCCCTCTGCTAGCAGCGTCACGTGGAACTTCGTGGTTCCCTCGTCGCTTGTGTGAGCAATGGTGGTGGTCTGGTGCACCGTTCTGTTGCGGGGATATTCCTCCTCCCCGCGCCGGGACTGGTTTGAGGACCGTTTGGATGTCCTCTGGTTATCTTTGCGATTTTCCCGGAATCGTGGTCTGGGTGGTTCCGGGGCTGGATCTGTGGCTCTGCAGGCCTCTGCGATGTGGCCCCTCTTCAGGCATCGGCGGCAGGTCGCGTCCCTCCATCTGCAGTTTGCCCTGGGGTGGTCGCCTCTGCAGCTGCCGCATCGCTCTCCCCGGTCGCCATGCTGTGGGTTTTCCCGCCTGGGGGGGGCGGGACACCTTGTGGACGGCCATTTCCTCATCAGACTCGGATTGAGTGGTTGCCTCGTCTGATGAGGTCGGGCCCGACTTGTGGATCTTATGGATCCCCCTTGCTTTTACCATCGCGGCGGCTGCTTGCTCAGACGTTTCAGCCGCCGTTGCCTCGTCGAGGACATCTTTGAGCGGAATCCTCTTCCGGCTGAGGAACTTCTTCTGCAGCCCCACATCTCGCATTCCAAACACAATGCGGTCCCGGATGGCATTGTCCACATTGTCGAACTCGCAGTTGGCAGCGATTTGGCGAAGCGCTGCCACGAATTCCTTGATGGATTCACCTTCCCGCTGGTTTCTTTGCTGGAAGGTGAACCTGTTTGCGATGGGGGTGCCTGTAGGTGCATAGTGCTCCTGTAGGACTTCTTGCAGGTCGTTCCAGGACATCTCCTCGATGTCCCTGGGTGCCACGAGGTCAATCGCCATCTCCAGAACGTCCGATCCGCAATGAGCCAGGAAGAGGGCTCTTTTTCTCTCCTCATCGAGGTTCTGGTATCCATTGCCTCTCAGGAACTGCCGGAATCGGACCATGTATGACCTCCACTTCTCCCGGGATGGGTCGAATGGGTTCAGCGCGGTCATCGGGGCTTGCGGGGTAGCCATTCTGTAAGATCGCTGTGGTGTGGTGATTTGTTCGGTGGGCGATCGTGCCACGAGTCTTGTGGAGGTTCTTCTCTCTCGTCCTTCGTCGCCAGTGTTAGATCCGGCGCAGGGAAAAGAAGACTGGACCAGCTCGATACATTAAGCAACTTTTATTCATTACAAAGTAACGAGTCAAGACTGCTGGCGCGCTGCCGGAGCTCTCCTTATATTCGCTCCCGGCAGACGCACCGCCCCTTGACAGGGATTCAAATCTCCCGCCCGATGGCTGGCAGCCAATCAGGGCGGATGTCCTTATAAGGACATAACAGGCAACTTTTCCAGGAATCCGACTCCTTGGGCCGAGCACCTAGCCTTCGGGCCTCCTCTGCAGCCTCAATGGATTTCACCATTTCTTCAGAATGAGAATACAGGGGGTCGATAAATCCTTCAGTATCCCTATGGCCCCCTCTGTGATCTCTTCTTTCTCCTCCATTTTCACTGAGTCTTCGTACCACCTGAGGTTTAGATAGCTGCTGGGGCTCAGCACTCCTGACAGCCCCCTTTTGGGGTGCCATTATGCTTTAGGCAGATTCAGGTTAATGTCAGCATTCCAGAAAAACCTCTCAGTAAATCAAAACCCCCAAAACCATCCCCTCACTCCTCAGTTGATCACATGCTCCAATCACCATATGTCCCATCTCGAGACAGCTCTCCGACCACTCCTTCTCCAGATGCAGGATCGGCCTGACCTTGACTGACAGGAAGAATGCTATTATATCTAAAGACAATCCCTCTACTAAATCCCCCCTCCTACTTTCCCATGGATGAGAAAGTGGCAGCATGGAAGCTTCTGGCCTAATATGGCTTCCAAAGCTGACATATACTTGGACACTGCCCTGGATTGTGCTGAGGGCAAAATAATTGGCAAAAATTATTTGCCCTAGCACAAAATGGGGAATTGTGGAAAGTGTATCCCAGGGGACAGTGCCAGGGACCTCATAGCACCAGAAACCTCAGGAAACAGTGCCAAGAGACTCAAGCCAGCCCTTCTCCCTTTAAGAAAACTAAGAAACACCAGCTGAAAGAAAATCACAGAGCAGCCCTGCTAACAGAGCTGATAATAGAAATACTTACATAGAGCCATTAAAATAAGGGGAATCAGGCTAAAAATAACTTACCTGGAACTCCCTTTTTCCTCTTTCCTGGCAGAATTAACCCCCAAGATAGGAAAGACAAAGTTCAACGGCGAACCTACGGCATGTGTGCCAGAGGTGGCACACAGCGTCCTCTCTGTGGGCACACAACCTGTCACCCACCTCAGCTCTGCCATGCACGTGCGCACACCTCCCACCAGCCAGCTGGTCTTCGGGTCTCTGCCACACATGAGTAGGGGGAGGGGCACATGCACAGGGGGGCATATGGGGGGGCATGTGCATATGTGAGGGGGCGGGGTGCACATGGGAAGCTGAGGGAGCTGCACACGCATACATGCGGTGCTTGTAGGGGGTTGCGTGTGCATGTATGAGGACAGGGTGCATGCACAGGGGTGTGCGGGGGACAGGGTGCATGCATGGGGATTGCACACGCATGTGCAGGATTGCATGTGTGGGGTCACATGCATAGAGGTTGCATGCATGGGGGGTCACATGCATTGCATTTTGGGGGTGCACGCGCTTTGGGCACTCAGTCTGGAAAAGATTAACCATCACTGTATTAGACACACAAGTTGCAGGAGCTTCAAGGGGAAATTAAGAATAAAAGGCTTGGAGTCACGCTTCCAAATTGGCTTGCAACCCAGGAATGCTTGAGCTGTGTCACACTTGCTGTGTTTTTTTTTTTTTTGCCGTCCTTCATTAAAGAATCCAACATTCTGGCAGCTGCTTTGGAATTCATCTCTTTTCAGAGTCTGTGGTTTTTCCCAGCTGGGAGTGAACTCAGGAAATTTCTTCCAACATCTTCAGTAACAATCACAAACCCACAAAGAGACAATCTTGCTTATTTGTTTATTTTTTTAAATATGAGCTTTCAGATGCCATAAAATCTTAATACAAGCCATAAAATGTTAATGCAAGCTGGGTAAAAGAAGTTAAAGTCAATCAGAGACCTTTATATACTTTCAGAGCCTATTCTAACCAATATGCTACTTATACAATTATATATCAGCATCTCATTTATCACTAAGACATAGGCAAATCTTTCTGGCTTCAAATTCTGCAGGATCTTGGTTAGTTAACCTCATTCACTTCCACACTTAATTAATATGGAAAGAGTGCTGCTAACTTGTTCACGGATAACAGTGGGGTAGCAGCAAAAGCCCTGCTATAGTTCTAGCTTGCTGAAATTCTGAGGGCACCAGGCTTCTCCCAGATTTATTTGCATGGGCTTGCTGCCAGTTCAAATACTTGGCCTCAAAGTAGGTGGGAGGGGGAGGAATAATGGGGGAAATGGGCCACAAAGGTAGTAGAGCACTGTACCTAGCAAGGGGGAAGAGAGCATAAGAGGAGGCTTCTTCTAATTTGCTCTGGGGCAAAAAAGGAAGCAGTAATACTGCTGGCAATGTAAGAGGGCATCAAATTTATCTAGTTTAGACCACTGACAGAGAAATAGGCATTTGAGGCATTGCTATTTCAAAACCTTCAAATCCTTTTCTTCAGTCAAATTTGCAATGGTCGCCTGCATATTTGCCACATTGAATTCAAGCACACTCAGTTAGGGGCTTGAGAGTTATACTCAGCCTTTGGATAGTGTGCTGAGGACTGCACTCCAAATTTGAGTGGGACTAACACTAATTTAAATTAAATTAAGGTAATTAAATATAGTTTCTGCATTTACTTTCCATATAGCATTTCCCTTCTATTTCTTTAAATGTTATAATTGTTGGCAATTTTTGGAAGGGCTTTGAAAGAACTAAAGCAAAGATCCTGAAGAATGCATGCAGATTTAAAGATTCAGATTAGCACCCATTATACCATATAAGAGGTATAACGAAATGTCTATAAGATTTCCTCCCTGCTAATTCAGTACTACTGCTTGGCTAAACTCTTCTATTCCCCTTGTTCAAAATGATTGTCATTATATATAAATAAACTTTCCACAAATAAGGTAATTTTTAATGTGAATGAAGGATTACTATACTTTCTGAGCTTCTCTGGTGTCCCATTATGTTTTTCAAGAATATGCAGTTTGTCAGGCAACTTGCATCTATTGTTTATACTGATTTACAAGATATTTATAGAATATGAGGTAACAATTGGTACTGAGCATAGCCTTGAATGTAAAAGAATGAAAATTTATTTCTTGAAAAAACATCTGAGGAACTGTTGATCTTCCTAATAATGATTTTAGTATAGTTTTCTTTGAACTTTTGCTAAATTCTTTCCCTCTCCCCAACATTTAATTTGTAATGTACATCTGCATGTGTTTGTCTGCTCCTTATTTTTTTAATTTATTTAGTGCTATAGAGTAGAGTTTCTGTGTTCCATTTGTAGAGTGCCTAGTTCAAACTTACAGCAATTATAACAGAATAGATTTTTTTGTATTTTCAGATAAGTAGTATAATACTAAAAGAATTGCAGAAACAAGGAAGTATATTGAAAGTCCTGATTAATTTGAAAGTCTTATAATCTTATAATACAAAATTCAGAACATTTTCTGGGCCTTCTCTATAAACTACTTATGAAGTATTTGAACAAGTCAAAGATTGCACAATTACATGGGTGCAGAATCTGAATGAAATAATAGAAAAGCCACAATGGGAATTTCCAACTGAAGAATAACAATACATTTTTTCTAAACATTGTATTTAGAGAAAATTGGTATGTTCTCCATTGAGAGTGGAGACAGCAGCCATGCTTGGGTAGTGACTCGTACGATCAGATTGGAGGACTGAGCCTGTAAAATTTGACAAGTCCCGCCTCTGTTGCCAGGGATCCCAGCTTTTGGCTCAGTCCTTCAGACTGGACAGTCGTGTGGTTTTCTTTCTCTGACAATTTTACTAATTTTCCTATTTCTCTTTTTCAGATGGTTGATATCAAGGTTTGACTCGGATTTCTCTTGGACTATTCTTTTGTGAGTGTGACTAATTCTTTGTCCCTTTTTACCTCAGCAACCAGAGTTGCTGGGTTGCTAGGGAGTGGGGGTGAAAAGGAATTCCCTCTTCCCTTTCTATATTAATTTAAAAAAAAAAAAAAAAAAAACCTTCCCCTGACTGAAGGGATCGTGGAGCTTCGCGCCCCTTCCTTATTTGGTCAATCCCTTACCTCACCTTAAATATATTGTGATAGCTGGAGGAGTGTTTGTGCTCCCTACATTGTGTCCCTCTAGTCACAGAGCTCCACATTATAGCCTGGAAGCCATTTTGTCTCATTTACTGCCATTGAATTGTAAAGGAGATTTACCATCTCCAGCCTGTGTC